TTAAATTTTTGTGCTTTTAAAATGCCTGTTTCATCCGTTGCGAAAAAGATACGAGCTTGAAACAAACGGTTTCTGGAAGACCTAGTAGATGGCTTAAATTAAACATGTTAACTGATTTTGTATTTTACACATATTATGTTTTATGTGTGAAATTTTTAGAAACTTTAATTTTTTCTTTCGATATATACGAGTAACATTATACTCTTTACTGCATCACCCTGTATTATTAACACATCAATACGTTGGAATACTCTTTTAGCGCCAATCTAAACTATACGCCAGTCTAAATTCTAATTCGAGACATTCGTATCGATATTTTGATCTAAATATTTTGCTAGATCTCTCTTAATATGGGATAATTCCAGACTATCTCTCTTTTAAGAAGAGAAGTAGTCTGGAATTATCCCATATACTAACTTTTAATTCTTTTAAGAAGAGGGGTAGTTTGAAATTAATCAACATACTAAGTTTTAAATTAGAATTGCAAAAAGCAGATATAGGTGATTTGAATGTATAAACAAACCTTTTCTCTTTAGATCAAATTTAAAACAAAAGTAGAAAATTTGGCAAAAAAGTTAAGAAAAAAGAAACGCTTTCAAGAATAAAACAAAACTAGTGATTTATTTTCAATATTATTTTTAATTCTTCAATCAATTTTTTTTTCATTTCAGACTAAAATTCTTAAAATTTTTAACATAAATAATTTTTTAAAATATTTACATAATAAGAAATAAAATATTTAATTTCTAAAAGAGGGAATACAATTTTTTTTTAACTATATTTAGAATGCCAGATAGAACATAGTGACAAAATGAGGAAAAAAATAAACAGATCATAATACAAACACACTAGCAAACCATATTGCACTCACAATTTATTTAGTTCAACAAAGTTCGATTTGGTCTTACAAAAGAATTTAAAATGCATTCTCTTTGTTTTTTACCGACCGTATTGTGTATACAATACGGTAGGTTATGTGATGGCAACAAATTTTGCATATCGAGTTTTCGGTGGGAATGCACTTCTCCATAGTAGGGAAGTATAAATAAACTATTTTTAGCAACCTGTCGGTCGGTCTGTGTGTGCACGCGTGTATCTCAAGTTCTGCTGAACCGATTTTGATGAAATCATTTATACATTTTTGTGTATATAAAGAGAAATAATCAACCGATTTCATTGAAATTTAATATTTGAATTCCTCGTATTAAAACAATGAATATGTAAATTTTTTGGAAAGATCAGGGCTCGAAAACTGATTTGCGGGCCGATTTTACATTTTTCACCATATCTACGGAACGAATTGATGGAATTTCTTGAAATTTGATATTTGAGTTCTGGTTATTACCAAAACGAACTGGCGGGCATTTCAGGGAATTCGGGTAGCACAAAACGAAACTGTACTAAGAGCCAAATTTACATTTTTCTAGGTATGTTAACTATAAGCTTACCAATGTCCTAAAAATTGGAAAGAAGTATTTAACAGACATTTTTTTAATATTCTGTAACACTTTCACTTAACTAGACAATACACAATGCGGTCGGTTATGTGCTGATCACATCAGATTTTTTTTTTTGTGCTTAAAATTTCATTTTGCGGCCAAAATTTATTTTTGTAAAATACATTTAAATATTATGTTTTATTTTTTGAAAGCAGTATCTTGCCAATTTATTAGGAATTTCACTTTCCCTTCCGTTAAACTTAGAATTTTATGCACTTATGATATTTTTATTAGAAGCACTATAATTGTAATAGAGATTTCAAGGGTATTCTGAATTCATGGAAAGATTAAATTATTTATATAAAATTAAAGATTTTCATATCGTAATCTCTTGATTTTAAAACAAAAATTTTGTCCATATTTTTATTTCAAAACTAAAATTCTTAAAATTTTTTGCATCAAACTATAAAGATTAAATTATTGACTTTATTTTGTACTTCAACATTTTGCTCATTATATGAGAGCAAACTGAGTTAGTATCACAATTCATAAATGTATACATACGTACTATAGCATTTCTCTCTTTGCAAAAAAATAAACAAAACCAGTCATATTCTAATCAATCACCCTTTATTTTAGAAGATGAGAGAAAAAATTTGAGATGGCGGTCATTAAGAAAAAACGAGAGAATCTATATAATTGAGAAATTCAATATTAAGTGACTGATCCAGTAAAATGCTGAAGAAGCTGCCAAATTTCTAATTCTAAAACATTAAATAAATGAAAAGGTATAGAAAAGTAGCTTACAATGCTTTTTATACAATAATTTATGTACAGTTCAAATCATTTAAAACTACAGAAAAATTCTGAATAATTTAAGCCCTAAAACTAGAACCTCAGTATTGAATAAGCGAACATTTTCCAAATTATTGGTTTTTATTTGGTAATGTTAAAAATATAATTTTCAAAATTCATAAACTGTGAAAAAATCACAATTATTTTTATAAAATTTTCGTCAATGAATTATTAGAGTTAGTAATTGTAGTAATATAGCAAAAAACAAAAGCCATTATCTCCAAAATTTTTATTATGTTTTTGTCATAAACGTTCTTATATAATATATACAAGTATATTATTTAATTTTCATGATAAATAATAGTCAAATAACGCAAATATTTCGAACTATTGAGCACAATTGAAATTAAAACTAAATTTGATAATTATTTTTTATTATCTACTCATATATAGAATTTTTTTTTGAAGAATATTCTTTATACTTAATAATATTACAAATTTCATATTGACTCGTTATGTTAGTTTTATAATGCACACACACACACAAATTTTATGTACATATTTATTTAATCTATAAAATAAAATTGATTTAATTATTTAATTTGTAGATTATCACAGAATATTTATTCTAATAAACGTAACTCATAATTTATTATCACATTCGAGCCCAAAAAAAAAAAGAAAAAAAAAGTGAAAACCATAAAATAAAGATCAAACAAATTAATTTTAACAATGCCACTTTCCTTTTAAATACACTCATACAAACAAATTAAAAATAGAAAAAATAATAATCAAAAAAATCAAACTAAGGCGAAGTGAAATAGTAAATCCACTTCTCAATTCTGAGAGCGCGATGATGTAATCAAAAGTTTTTGTTTCGTATTTTTAAATTAATCACACAATTTTGTGTCGGTTTTTATATAGCAGTAGTAAAAAAAAACGACATTATTTCGATTACTAATTTAATAACAAAATATTCGTGGTTATTGTCACGCGTTACAATTTTATAATAATGAAAATTTTTTATTTGCTTAAATAGGCGGCAAGTCACATGCATATTTATAGATAAAATTATGTATTCTAATTTTATTTGGCAATTTTTAAACACATACATAGAATGTAGCTCTTCTTTTTTAAACTGAGTTGAAAAAAAATTATTCACAAGTATACTATTCATATTTTATGGCATAGAACCTGGTCACCTTATTCTAAAATTTAAACAAAATCACATATTTGATTAATTTTCGTAGACATAATTAAATTTTTTTTAAATTGATAAATGATGTGATTAGATAAAAAAATTAAATAGACACATACGTGCAAAATAATCACGTGCAATAAAATAAGTGATATAGTTGACTTACACTTTTCATGTTAACTTAATTAAAAATGTAAAAAAATTTTGTATAATAATATTTTTTGTAATATTGTAAATATAATGATAAGAAATATGTAAACACGCATACATACACACATTAAAATAAATTTGTATACAAATGCATACACGAAACATATATTTTCTTTAAACAACTCTGAGAGCGAAATTTGAGAGATCACAAAGAACTATGCTCTTCGAAATTAATTCAAACCAACTACTAAACATTACATATAAGCAGTTCACAATAATTTTATTTATTAAATATTGTCAAACAATTAATAACTATACAATTTTAAATAATAACTTTGCAATCGAAATGATCTGATATGAATCTCAAAATTGTAGTTGTACGGTCGCACGAATTTTCGAATTTTCGATTCAATTTCAATTTTGAAATGATTTTTTCATTGTTTTTCAAGTTTTATACAGACGTTAGTTTATAAAATTTACAACAAAAACTGTATATCCGGCGGCTAGAGTTAAATTTCGTCAGGCTTCAAAGCAATTTGAAATTTTCAATTTTAACGAGTAATCAGACTACAGAACTTAGTCATGAGTACTGAACCTATAGTCTAATACCAATCTGCGTATTAACCGTTACCGATGTTAATTAAATATTTTTCGGGCTATAGTTGACTTTTCTATTTCAGATTAATTGCAAACGCTATATATCAGTATTGTTTTCGGTATTGTTCGACCTTTCGATATTTTCAATTTTTTTATCAAAATTTCTAATTTCCAATGCTTATTTGACTTTTACTTAATATTTAAGAATTTAAATGTTAATTGATTTAATGTTAAATTTACAAAATCATGATTCCTCTTTTATCACAATTTCTCTTATTTCAAAAATTACTCCTTATAAATTTTTAGTACAACTGTTCCTGGCTTAACAATATTGGCAGTCTCTAGCAAACAAGTTCAAGAAGTTAAAATAACATAAAATTTTTTTATAGTAACCATTTTTTAATTATACCACATAAAATTTTTAATTAAAATATTTTTGTCAATATTTTCGAAAAGGCACCAAATAATTCAGCAAATGAACGGAATTGGTTAAACAAAATCAAATACAATTTCTTTATAAGTATATTTACTTAAAATTTTATATTTGTAGAAATTCTCATAGAAAAAGAAGAACATATAAAAAATTTAATAAAAATATATAAAAAAAATGTTTAATGAATAAATCAATAAAAATGAAATTAAAAAACTTTTTTAAAAAGAAAACAAACTATTATCTTACATACATGTAAAAATTTGTAAATATATATATGGGTATATTTATATATATATATAGTATATACATACATTTAAATGTATAAAATCAAAATAAATACTGAAAAAAAATAAAACTAAATTCAAGAAATAATAAAGTGCTATTAAAACAAAAAAAAAAAAATATTTTTGCTGAAATATTGAACACAAGTAGTTTAAAAGAATAGCTTATGAATCAAAACTTTTTATAAATTCTCTTTATATTTTTTTTCTCAAAAATTTAATATATTTAATATATTATATAGTAAGTGTTAAATTTATAAATAAAAAACTACATACACTCACACAAATATACAAAAAATCAACATGGATATAATATCGCATTCTTTGCCACCATGTTCAAGACGTGAAACAACAGTTAAAGCTACAACTAGTAATTTAGCCTTAGATCAACAAAGCCTTTGCCAAACATCCGTCCCAGCAATTAAAATTTCATCAACATTCTTATCTACTGTAAGTATAGTATAATTTTGTATAATAATTTAAAGAAATTAATATTGTTAATCGCGGGAGTCCGTGCTGATATTGGTTTTTAGAAAATATCCACGAATTCTATAGGTAGTATATGTCACATAGAATTTGTGTAGAGCTGTTGCAATATTAAGCTACATGTAGTTACAAAATTTTTTGCTTTTAATTATTATATACTGTTATTATTGTTCAACAATATAACAAAATTTCGAAATTCGAGCTATCATATTTTCCGAATGAGAAATTCCGCACGGATATCACACATATGGCTTTAAATTAACTTTTTTTTTTATTAAATTTTTTATTCAATTAAAATATGGACAATAATTTTCCTGGAATAATATTATATTATATACTCGTATATGGAAACTATCAGCTTTCGATTTCCTGATTTTGCTGTTGAAGGTTAGAAAGTAACCAATCGCAGGTATATCCGCAATACTATAATGATTATTTGGTGTTCTTAATTATTTTTTTGAAATAAACAAATATATTTAATTAAGTTGAAAATGATCAAGAGTCAATTATTAATTTCAAAATATCAAAAAAGTTAATCAACCCTTATCAAATACAAGCTTCTTTCCATCGACTTAATAAAATTATTGTGATTGAACAAATTGCTTGCCTATCCGAATTTTATTATGGAGGCGATCCTATCTTTTTGACACAACATTCTAAAATTTTATTAACAAATTATTAGTTTTCATAGTACTAATATAGTGTTTTTCAATTCTAATTGCCTACATATATGCAATAAGAATTTTATCCTATGCAATTTCCATTTGTGTTGATGTTAAATTTATTATTCGAAAACACGAATTAGATCATTAAATAATTTAAAAGGTTACATTATCTAATTCTTTATAATTAACGTGGATTCATTACATACATATACATATATTCATATAATATGTATATGTACTGCATATTTTGATGATGATTGATAACTTTTTATTAAATTATTAAAAATTAAATATCAAATAAATTATATCGAATATTGATTTCATTTCTTACACATATATTTATATAAAAATCAGTTTAGTTCGTGAATAATAAATAGTTTCCATATAATTCTCATAAAATTTAGCAGAAAAATTACTCCACCTACTCTTAACTTATATATTTTTTATTATATAATATTTCATAATACAGGGTGTCTCGTATCAAAGTGTACTGCTATATATCATAGACCTCATTAGTAGACAAAACTTTTGTATGGAGAGAGTGAAAGCCTATACAATGGTATATAGCAGAGTACTTCGATACGAGACACGCTTTATATTTTATTAAGTGAAATTTAGTGTAACTTATTTTTTTTGTTGGCAACATACGATCTATATTAACTATTTTTTGTATACTATAACAAAAACAAGAGTTTTAAGTAATTAAATAGTAGAAGTTTAATGTAGGACTAGAAAGGAACACATCTTCATTCAAAGCCCTGATACGATTCAAGTTATCTGTTGCGTTTTAAAGATTTGGGTATCTATCTATTTCAATTCAAGTGTAACCATGCATGAAAGGACTCTTCTCCTGCAAAGAATTTGATTACATTTCTCTGTTTAATCAGAATTGTACTGCAACGAAAATTTATATATAGCCTAGGCATAACTTTCTAGTTACGCTACAGTTAGTCTTGTATGCTACAGTTAATAGTCTTGTATATTAAAAATTTTCCTAAAATTACAAAAATATCCAATTGAATCTAAAGTAAAAATAATATTCAATTAATAATAGGAATAAATGGAGCAAACTATCAATGCAGCCACGCTGTGTTATTCAAAGGTCAGAGTAAATTAAAGTGATTTCAGTGAAGGTTAAAGCCTTATTACTCCATTCTTTTTAAAGCAATGTTATTTAGTTCGACTGTATTTTTCAAAATTTACGATATTTATATCTGAAACGCGAAATAATGTCTAGTGGGTTCGTACTTTTACTTAAAAAAATCATAATTACACATCATATTTTACCTGTTATTTGCCTATCACTTTGCAGAAAATGTATATCCAAGAAAATTAATCAACCCTAAATATTCTTCACTACATCTTTGAAATATTACCATATAAGAACTTTATAAGAAAATGGGAAGGAAATATTACATAAAAAACATAGAGTTAGTGTTCATCATTATACAAAATGATTACCACTATCCTTTGCAGGAGCATAGAATTTTGACCTATATATTTCTATGTTTAATTATGTATGTATACATATAGTACTTTAATGTATGTATAATTAATAATATACGTAATTAACTCGCATACACACATTAAATAAATTGGTCAATTATTTTAATTTTTTTTATTTTTTTTTTTTGTTATTTTAAAGTAAAACTTTAATGACCACTCTTAAATGTTATATATTTAATTATTTTGTTGTTTTGTTTTCGGAACTTAATTTTTACTGCGGTATTTTAATGTGCTTTTGAATCCTTAAAAATGTTGACATAATTGAATGTTCCCTAAATGTTATTGTATATAAAATTCAATGTATATACATAACATATAATACAACCAAATATACACACATCTGTATGTATAGAAATATAAAAATGTAAGTATATAATTGCAAAAAATAAAAAATTGTGAATGAATCAAATGTCACATTAATTTAAAGGTTTAGGCGTTGCGTGGTGCTTTTAATTGATGTTACCCGAAAAAAATAAAATAGAAAATGTTGTTCTTTTTTGCTTATTATTAATTATACACTCACTCATTATTATATTGTATAGTTTGAGGATTTTAAAAGGATATTTTCTAATATACTTCATAAAGTATATATTTTTGAAGTTTTTGTTTTTTGTTCCCACTTAATTCTACACGTTTATCAATCAATCTAAAGGTCTTATACTTAGAATTATATAGAATATTTTGTTATTAAAAACACGATAATAAAATTGAAGGAAATTAAATATCTTAAAATAGATTTGTTTTATTTTAAAAATTCTTGCATATTCAAAATTTTCATTAAGCACTATATATTTAGAAAATTGTACTTTAATAGAGCAAAGGTTATGTGAAACAGCTTTAAATTAAGTTAAAAATATAATGTAAAAGAAATGACAATTTTTATTTAGAATTATTTTAAAATAATTTGTTTTTGAGAACAGTTTTCTTCAAGTTTCATGTTATTTTTAAAATTTGTCCTGCAAAATTCACATATCCATTCTGAAATCTAATATAATAAACAAAAATATTTATATACATAAATTTTATTAAGAATTTCTTATTTAATAACAACAATTTTGGAATTTATTTTTAATAACAAAATAATTTACTGAGTGTGGGCTCTTGATAATAATCATATTTACAATTTTTCTTTAAATAATTCAAAACACTAAGAGCCCCATTCTTAGCGTGGCAAGCAACATACACATTTGAAATATGCATTTTTATAAAAGTTAATTTTCACATATACTTAACCATTTTTGTATAATATATGAAGTATATTTGTATAAATACTAAAAACTACAAAATAAAGTTGAAAAATTAAAATTTCACACTTCACATTAAGTATTGTGTATTAAGAAATAGATAATAAAAATATTTCCCTCACGCAATTACTAAAAACTTTAGTAATAAAATTAATACGAGTATTAAAACACCACTCTATATTGCTTTTTGCTTTAAGTGTTAAAAATTTGATAAATCAAAAATAACAAAAACTTTATGAATTTAATATTTTTGATAATAAATTTTTGGATGATATTATGACTAGCATGCTAGTCTTGTATATAAAAATCAATATGTATAACAATCGTATTGAGCGAAAAATTTTGCTGTTTCGGTTTTTACGGTTATTCTTAAACTATACGTGATTTTAAAAATTAACTGCTCTCGCTAACATCTTTTTAGATGAAAACTTAGCGAATATCATGATCATTTAAAAAATATTAAATTTTTGATTAAGATTCGAAAATTTGATTAAGATTCGGAACTTAGTTTTGAAAGTTAAATAAATTAATAGAAAAACTGATGAACAGAATTCTAGCAAAAATCTATTTATGCAACGTCAATGAACGTCTTGCGCCCCACAAGAATCCGACTCTGGGTAAAATAAAGTAGAATTTTAAACATAATACAGATTTTGTGAGAAAATAGAGAAAACATTTTACAAATATTACAATTAGACAGAGTCCACTTAGAGCTTCTTCCGATACATTCAATCTTGCAGATTTTTTACTTTCTTAAAATTCTTTACTAAAACTAAATTTTTATTATGCATAAGGTCTTACCAAAATTTTGAATTACTTCATCACATTCATTCGAATTTTCAAGAGTAAATTTTATTAAAATGAATATTATGTTTCTTTCAATAAAATTAATTAACTTTCAAAACTATGCAATTCTGAAAATTTTTTTCTTTTATAAGTTCAAAGTAAAGAATTTAAAATTTTAATTAAAATATGCAATTAATTTTATTTATTGTACGAGTATATATTAAATTTTTATTGTAAAATTATATCTACATAATTTTCTTAATATCAAGAAAAAATTAAATTTTAGCATCAGAATACGAAAAGAAAGAATCAAATATAATAAATCATTAATAAATTACACATACATACACATATAGTTACGTACATGTGTATGTAATGTGTAAATTTTATACAATATAAAATTTTCTGTTGGTGGCACCAAAATGGCGCCTATAAATCTACAAATATTATATAATTTATTTTTGAGGTCATAAAAATTTCAAAAAGGATGATGACCCACTCAAAATGATTCACTGGGTTCTTGAAAATATTAATTTGTATGTATGTGTGTTGTAGTTTTACTGTAAATGGAACATAAAACAATATTACGAGTAATTTGTATTATAAAAATATTCAAATGCATCATGCTTGTATTACACAAAATGCATATACATATATGACATATCTGTATGATTGCGACATCTCTCAATGGAAAACTCAATTTTGTTTCCGTAAAAGTTTGTGGTGATTCATTCATATCCAGCAAAAATTGAATATAGAAAGC